AAGTGAATAGAGAAAAATCTGATAATGATGACTGTGAGTCGTTTTATGTATCTGTGTCAATGAATACAACGCAGAACAATATCGGCGGCCATGACTGATACGAGGTATTAAGAGGTGAGTGTGACTTTGAACGTTTTAAGTTGGATACCGGTGCCGACATTAATGTCTTATGTTATAAGAGATTTGACGCTGGGATTTAACACGGAAATTATATGTAATAATAATAAAATGAAGAGGAGTTTGTCATCTTAAATGGTGGTATAAAAATAAAATGTATGTTTTAAAATTTGCAATGGCAAATATTAATTTTAAAACAACGTTGTAAAGATTGGGAGTGTGTCGACGAGGGTCGCGTACCTGATACTCAGAATCACCAAACGGTATTCGCTGAAGGTCATACAGGTTTACGCACCAACCTCGGCACATCCCGATGAGGGGGTGGAGGAAATGTATGAGGATAGCCATGCATTCCACCAAAACCCACTACACAGTGGTGATGGGAGACTTCAACGCAAAACTAGGCACAAGGGAAAACGGTGAGCTGAAGTTAGGGAAATTTGGAGTAGGGCAACGGAACCGAAGGAGCCTGTAGCTGGCCGACTTTATGGAGAAAGAGGGACTCTTTATGATGAACTCTTTCTTCCAGAAGCGGCCCCACAGGAAGTGGACCTGGTCGAGCCCCGACGGTTCAACAAACAATGAGATTGACTTCATTATGACGACCAGACGCCAACTGTTCAGTGATGTCTCAGTGATCGCAAGGGTGAAAACTGGCAGCGATCACCGAATGGTTAGAGGCACACTGAACCTAAACGTTAAGTTGGAGAGGTCTCGTCTAATGAAGTCAACGCTCCGTCCCCCCTCGTGCTCTAATCCAGAATCCCGAAAACTTTCAGCTCGAGTTACGTAAACGCTTTCAGGGCCTACAAGATTGAAATGCAGTGGACGATATGAATGACAAGCTCGTGGAAACTGTCCATGCGGTCGGTTCAATGCTAAGTTCTGCTAGACCCGCCGCAGAAGAACACAAAAACTCTCCGATCACTCTCTTAATCTCATGGCTGTTAGACTGGAGATGAGGCTGCAATCGTCAACAGATTTGACAGCATACAGGCAACTGAACAGACAGATCTCCAAATGCATGCGACGAGACTTACGCAACTTTAATACTGCTCGTATTAAAGAAGCGATTGAGCGGAACCAGGGCTCCAAAGTCTGCTAGAGATCTGTCTGCCAGTAAGAGACAGCTGTCAAAGCTGAAGACTGAGTGTGGCAGCATCGTTTCTGGGACACCTGAGATTTTGAGTGAGATTGCGAGGTTCTATGGGCAGCTGTACACATCATCGTTGGAGCCACACGCAAGTGTGAGTAACTATCCAAGAGAAAGTCTTATCCGACACTATTCCGATGATATCCCAGACGTCAGTCTAAGCGAGATTAGAATGGCTCTCCAGCACCTTAAAAACGGCAGGGCCCCAGGCGAGGATGGAATTACAGCGGAGCTTCTGAAAGCGGGTGGAACACCGGTACTTGAAGTCCTTCAGAAGCTCTTCAATTCCGTCCTCCATGGTGGTACTACTCCAGAGGCGTGGAGCAGAAGTGCGGTGGTCTTGTTCTTTAAGAAAAGGCGACAACGCTCTCTTGAAGAACTACAGACCGATTTACCTTCTGAGCTGCGTCTACGTGCTGTTTTCGAGAGTCATTACTAATCGTCTCGCACGCAGACTCGACGACTTTCAGCCTCCCGAACAAGCCGATTTCCGAAAAGGCTTCAGTACAATAGGCCACATACAAACCCTGCGTCAGATTGTACAGAATACCGAAGAGTATAATCTGCCACTTTGCCTGCATATGTGGACTATGAGAAAGCCTTTGATTCCGTCGAAATTTGGGCGGTGCTACAGTCCCTTCAGCGGTGCCAAGTTGACTGTCGGTATATCGAAGTGCTGAAGTGTTTGTACAGTAGGGCTACGATGGCTATCCGAGTACAGAACCAGAGCTCGAAACCTAAACTGAGAGAGGTGTAAGACAGGGTGATGTTATCCCCGACTCTTAGCTGCATTGGAAGGTTTCAAGTTACTGATGAAAATGGTATTAACATCAATGGCGAGTACATCACTCACCTTCGATTTGCCGACGATATAGTCCTTATGGCAGAATCGCTGGAGGACTTCAGCACTAGGCTCAATGACCTCAATAGTGCCTCCCAACGGATAGGTCTTAAGATGAACATGGACAAAACAAAGATTATGTTTAATGTCCATGTCACACCTATGCCAGTAGTTGTTGGGAGCACTATGCTCGAAGTTGTTGACGAGTACGTTTATGGGAGTCGATGGTAGTCCCTTCGATCATCGGATTCATCTCGGCTGGGCAGCGTTCGGGAAATTACGACATATCTTCTCGTCAGGTATACCTCAATCTCTAAAAACTAGATTGTACAACCAGTGCGTGTTGCCAGTGATGACACATGACAGTGTGGTCCTTCACTGCTGGCCGTCAGAGGACGCTCAATGTCGCTCAGCAGCTATGGTGAGGGCTATGCTCGGAGTTTCTCTGCGTGATAGACTCAGAAATGAGGATATCCGCAGTGAAACCAGAGTGACCGACATAGCCCAACGAATTAGTAAGCTGAAGTGGCAATGGGCGGGCCATATAGGTCGAAGAACCGATAACCGATGGTGAAGAAAGGTTCTCGAGTGGCAGCCTCGTACCGGTAGGCGTAGTGTAAGGCGACCCCCCACTAGATGGAGTGACGATCTGGTAAGATGTGCAGGAAGTCGATGGATGCAGGTGGCTCAGGACCGTGCTTTGTGGCATTACTTGGGGGAGGCCTATGTTCAGCAGTGGACTAGTGAAGGGCTGTAATGATGATGATGACGATGAAATATTAATTGTGAAAGTGTCGCTAGTCGCTAAGGTCGCTGGTCGCTAAAGCTGGGTCGACAAGCGTATTCGGAACTAGGATTAATTCAACGTGTTTACGGCATTAATATGGTAGAAAATTCGGATCTTTTTGAAGGTTTAGGGTGCTTACCCGGTGAGTACCACATAGTTGTTGATAAATCAGTTAAACCGGTAGTTTGTACTCCGCGAAAAGTACCTCTAGGATTACGTGATAAATTATTAGAAGAATTACACCGGATGACTGACTTAGGAGTCATTAGGAAGGTCACTCACCCAACACAATGGGTTAATTCAATAGTAATTGCAGCAAAAAAGAATGGAACATTACGAATTTGTTTAGACCCGAGACCTCTCAATAATGCTATACAGCGTGCACATTTCCAACTGCCAACCATCAAGAAACTTGCGACTAAATTTCACGGAGCTAGTATTTTTTCGGTTTTAGACGCAAATTCAGGTTTTTGGGCAATAAAACTTGATGATCAGAGTTCAGACTTATGCACCTTTAGCACAGCGGTGACACTCCCTGTACGTGAGAGCTTAAGCGCCGGTGACCTTGAGTCGAAGCGTGTAACGTTAGGGTTGATATCAAACCGAAATGGAATATTATAGACTTTTTTACCAAAGAAGATACATAGTAGGTATATGTTATATATTATGTAAACTTATGTGTTTGGGTAGTGAAAGATACTTTCAATTTTAAATCAACTTTTATTAAATATCTTTACAAATGACGAATATTAAAACTTCCGACAAAACCAAATATGCACGACAGTTAATGGTAATCATAAATAATTTACCAACACTTAGTATGAGAGAAGATTACTCCTTTAAAAATTAATTTAATCTTATATATTTTTGGACTTTTTCGATTTCTTTTATAATTTTCATTGTTATTTCTAATAATTGCAAAAATTCGTAGCATTTATAATTTTTTACAGATATATAGACAGTTATATATACAACATGTAACAAAAACCCTGTGGTTCCCGTTAAGTGTGTTATCAGAATCAGTATCCAAGCTTATATAAATATTTTTTTTTCAAAAAAAAACGCATTTGAAAAAATTAATTTTACTGAAAAAAAATTAATTTGCAAATTGTATGTCGTTTTATTTCCTCTAACTCACACGAGTATCGGTAATGCGGGGTCTTTGACAATCCTCTTACTCCTCGGCCAATGCAGATATAATAAAATCACATACAACCCTGGATTTTTGTCACATGTATATATATAATAGTAATATTTATAACCGTCGTATTAAGATATCAGTAATATACATATATTAATTGCAATATTATATCACTTGACGAATATATTCATATTAAACTAATACTGACAAATATCGGTACTACTAGCCCTCGGCCAGGGCAGTCGGCGACTGCCTAGGAAGTGATTTTACGTGCACACATGCTTAAGTGTCGTTTATTTTCGCGTAGTGTATATATTCTTTGGCTTGGGTCCAGTCTGAAAATGTTCGCTTTTTTTTTGAAAATAAATTGACATTAATCTTAAAATAGCTATAGAATTATTTCTAAATGTATCATTTCAGCATCCTGGACTTATTTTCCTCATGTTATCAATAAAATTTGAAAGTATTAGTGTAAGAAACCTTTCTAGCGTTGCGTTGTACGTCTGCTGGCTTCCGTGTCAGTGATAAATGATAAATGTAACAAAATTCTCAACAATAAAAGAGATCTCTGCTTTGACGAACACTCTGTCCCAGTAAGAATGTTTCACTGGATTTAAAGAAAAAAATCCTCCTGTTTTGCTTTCCCGTTGATACGTAATGTGCAGAATGATTTGTTTTACAATTTCCATAATAACCAATATCAGGTCCCCTTCTTATTCCATGTGTCCATTGTCCATAAAAACTGTATACATTATATGTTTAGGTTATATAAAGAAATGTATTTGACATTTAAATTAATATGTTTGCATACTTCTAATTTCAACTCTCGTGATGATGATTGGTGCAACTGGCTACTGAACGAAAAATATTGATAAGTATACTGGGTTGTATATCCATGACCAAACAGTTCTAAAAACGTTCACTACACTAGTGAAGATCACTTTATACAAGTCGGACAATT